TGCTTCGTAACATCTCTGTATGCAGCATGAGCTCCACCTTTGCAAAAATTTACTATATGAGTAAATTTTTAAACACGTCCGAACTCATCAATACAATAAATTCGCGACACATGTTGAGCCCTAACCTAATCTTAATCTAACCCTAATCTAATCTTTATTTGACACTAATCCAATTAATCTTTTTCAAAACTCCTGCTTATGGCCCTGAGGTCTTTGCAATTGTAGTGTTGAAATGCTACGGTAATGATTTTTGTAATCTGTACGGGATTATTCATTCCATTAGATCATTTATGTGCCTATAACATGAAATAGCTGCACTATATTTGAATCCTATGTTTCAGGTTAAATGGTTTCTATACTGAATAAACACAAATTCAAGAATTGCTTGAACCAAAATAGAACTTTGTTGAAGAGATTTGTAGATTGGAATTTCGAGTGTAATTTTTATAGTATCAATAGATACAATGTATATTGTAGCCTAGTTCACTTGTGTCACGAGTCTCTGACTCGGGTGAATTGCGCAACCACACCCATTGGAATGTGATCGACATACAGTAACTATATCACATATAAACGACACAAATATTGTACTATATACTCTATGTACTCTATACTACTGTACTATGTACTCTATACTATATGGTACAAAAAAGTGAACCAAATCTCTTCCCAGAATTTAATGCACTAGACTAAAATAAAGTGTCCAAAGTATCACTTACATCATCCTGGTATTGAGGTAGTATTGGCTTTTGATAAAACCATTTTTGATAAATGTATTTTTCTCCTTTCTTCACCTGACCAGCTGTATATTGCAAAGGTGACAAGTATAAATACATATGACGATGAATTGCCAATAATAAAACATTGATTACTAGATGGCAATAGGCGCATCATTTGTCATCTGCACTTCATTAGCGAGCGTTCATAATTTCCCTACAGTAGAAATTTTCTATGGTACATGTTTTTAAGACAGAAATATAAGAAGCCAGATGAATAGTTTTGCTATTCATATGGAACAGCAACATTCCGGTATTTAGCAACTTAGGGAAAATCTGCTTGTAAACTTTCTTTCAAATTCTTGTATACTTTAAACAACAGATTCGTGTTTCACTGATACTAATAGTGGTGCATGATTCAGACATTCATTGATAATTCATGTATTTGTAAGTGGTGGTGTACGTTGAAAGATGAGTAAAAGATTACAATACCAGAGTCGATATTACCACTGTATAGTTAATTGCCATATTTTGGCACATTTGCACATACAGAACTGTCAATCTCATTGTCCTTGGCTAATAAACTATTGCTATTAGAAATACATCCAAAATGGTTTTTCTTCCTATTCGATATTATGTTACACTTACCAACGTGGGTAGTACTTTCATCGCATTTGCCATCATCATCTAAACTGAAATGTTTGATTTTAATTTTTAAATATTCGTCTGTAAAACTCATTTATACAGGTCATTAGATTGAAATGTTTTACCGGGTTTACCTCAAATTTCGCCTTTAATTAAAAAAAATAATATTCTACTCGAAGTGAGAGGTCGACCTTATTTAGCAACATGTTTATAAACGTACAGAATGTACCTTTTCTCAACTCCGTGCCCACATTTAAATGTTCAATCATTGAACGCTCATGATAGTGTCCTTAATTAATAATAATAATAATAATAATGATTTATTGGTAATATATCCACTATATAAATTATAAAGTATTCATAAAGTCTATAAACTATTTTACGAACATTACTGCAATATATAACTTTGAATATATAACGTGTTCGACAGGACAAAATATTACTTACAAAATTACGAAATTAACTAAGTTAGAACAAAACTGTACGAAACTACATACATTTAAATATTTCTTTCTAAGATTATCCAAGTCTTGACCATGCTTTCAAGACTAAGAAATTTTTGGTCTCATTGTAGAATACTCTGTAGTCTCTGCAGTTCCTAATTTCTTCTGGTAATTGGTTAAAAAGATGTGCTGATTGGTCCTGTAATGTGTTCTTAATTAAGCCACTCCTCATCAGGAATAGGTAGACTGCTCTAGATGGGTACGTTATATTGCTCAATTCCGTAGGTTCAATTCCTATAAGTTCAATTCCGCAGGTTCAATTCCTACCAGAGGACCTTGTGCTGCATTTTTCGCAGTCGTTCCTGGTTAGGTCTTAAAATGTATATATATACTCACTAACGTTATATTGCTCGCATGCCAGACGAACAGCCGGCGAAAGCTCTCCTGTATGAAGAATTGGCAGAGGGCTCTAGCAGAGTCGGTCGTCCTTTCCTGAGATTTCAAGACACCTTGAAAGGCTCTAGCAGAAGTGGCGGAGGCTGATATCACATGTTTGCAATATAAGATAGACAATGATCATGACAGAGGGGCGAAGCGTCACAAAAGATAGAAGAATAGTGGAGTAGAGATGAACTGACTAAACTAGTTATTATTAATATTATGATTTATTTGGACACTCGTTATTTTCCCCCATCGTACGAGTTTATACGCGCTTGTGAAAATATTGATGATAATGGATGACCGAACTGTTTTATGATTTCAATTTTTAAATTAACGAACATGCACCGAGGAAGTTCGAGGAACCAATTAAGGTTGTATGAAAAAGGATTTATGACTTATCCTATACGTACTTTCTCCAAACAACAGCCATTCCACGTCGTGGTTTGATGGAAATATTTAGGAAAGGAAAAACTGTTTCACCACCCTAAAACAAAAACGAACGGATATTTGCTTCAGGCGAGGCAAAACGAAACATGGTAAACATATTTTAAAGGAAGATGCCGAATTTCGTTTTCGAATTCACTTGAAAAATACAGCTTTCTACACCTATTCTAGTGGTTTTAGAATCTTTTAAACAGCAGATAATGAGACTCTAGGGCACGATAATGGTATAACCTCATTATTTGCCATTAGCCAAATTTAGAAAGTTACAGTATATAGACCTCTGAATAACATATTCCATCTAACCAATACAACATGTTTCCGCCCTAGGCCGTCCTACCACTGACTAAAAGCCTCGTGGGCCGCCTTTAACACGCACTAAAACCACAGTAGATTTGTGGCGGTAACATGAACTATTCAGGTCTAATTTTTAGACCAGTACTAGTGTTTCAGCTGCCTCTTTTTTGCTTTACAGATTACTGTTTCAAAGTTAATAAAGGAAACACAGCTATTATTGTTCTATATCAGTAAAAATGCAAATGAATTAATAATTGAGTTGGATAATTTGATATGCATTATATATCTAAGCGACAGTTGTGGTCTGATATAAACATGCAGCTACCTGAGAAATAGAAGTAGAACTTTGACGTTTCGAGCGAAGGCCCTTCATAGGGACTTAAAAACGTCTAATCGCAGCTTCATATTATATTTCAATTGGAATTATTAGAATGGTTATTCACTTACAGTCGAAAATTTGTTGGCGATGATTTATCCATACAATATATCGATCTCACCTCGTCAACGTCAGTAAGGTAAATTATAATAGTTGCCATTCGATCATTAGCAATATGATGACAATCTGTATGCGCTTTGTACTAAATAATAGACAAAGCAAAGGCACATAGTATGTAGGGATGGAAGAGGCAATGGGACAGATGTGTTTGTGTAGGAAGAAAAAAAGGTGAGGATTGTATAGTGTTATTCTGAAAAAAGCATACCAGGATTTTTGTGTGTTCGAAATCACAACAATAATTCTGGAAATTTTTGGATCCCCCCGCCCCCTTGACATTTTTGTTGCGTTTTCAACAGTTTTTAGACAGTTTCAAAAGGGGCCTTCTTACCTCACTTTTTGCTTCATATTTCACCAGTTGGGTGTGGTATGCGTTCGTCCTCGGCAATTTTATCATGTCTTGAATGTTGCTCTCAAGAGCATCGACATCATTATTTTCTCCCCTAGGTACCAGGACACTGGAACTAATATTGAGAACTTTCGTCAACTTTTGGCTGATATTCAAACCATCTATGGTGCCTCCATCACAATTTTCCATTACATTCATGGAAATATTATACTCATCTGGCGATAACGAAGCTTTGAAAATAGCTTCGAGTAGTTGTTTTGTTGTTGAAAATCTCCAAAACTTTCTAGTAAAAAAGGAGAATAGCAATAAGATCCGAAGAGTCTGCACATTACGATACTTAGGATACTCGCAACAAATTTGTTGACGTATTCTGACACATAAAAATGTCAAAGAAAATGTAAGAGTTGGGAAAAACAGCAACAACGTCAACGACGCAGCATGGGAAACGTGTTCTTTGACATTAAAAATGATAGAAATTTAACTCTAAGATAAAGAGAATTTCGAAGCTATAGGAAAGGTTCCGCAAGGCTAAAGAACGTGTCACAAACATCGTTCACTTCTGCTTAAAGCCAGTTTTCCACTTCAACCGTATCGTAACGTTCCGTAGCATTTTCTTTTGTGTCGAAGTCATTAGTTCCACTCTAGTGGTCAGGAAACAAAGAAATACGCTTCGCCGATACGGTTGAAGTGGAAAACCAGCTTAAGTAAAGCAATACCACGAGACAAAGTGAACTGGCCAACTTGGCGAAATGCAGAATGTGTAAGGCGAAAGCCTGCGACGATAGGTATATGCGAAATGAAAAATATTAAAACAAACCTTCCACATGAACATGCTAGGTCATGCTAGACTGATAGTTACCGGGACAAATAAAAACTGAACGACGAATTTTGCCGCTTAATTTTACTAGGTTTTATTCAGTTTTCTGTGTGTTTTGTACATTAAATATATCTGCTGCTACAAAGTACATCAGAGCTTTTTCTTGCAAATAAATGAAGAAAACTATGAAAATTGTTAAATTTTTGTGTTGCTTGACTGAAATGTCAGTGCAAGTTTTTGCGACATTCGCGCATGTTCCGTCTTAGTAAATAGGTACAGAAATCTGAGCACGGATAAAAATTGTACGAGGTCAGGGCTTTGTCCAAGCACCATCTGACCTCCGGTAAACGGAGGTCAAAACTCAATCTTGGATTGAGGTTTTAAGCTGAATCCTTCCCCCAATGAAAAGAAAAAACAGCAGAAAATCATTTTCACACGCTTTAGTTTTTGGAATTCCGAGAAACAGGGTGAGACATGTGAGACATGTTTGATGTTTGTTATTAAGCTACCTCTATCGTATCACTGTGATCGTATATTTTTGGTGTCTTGTGCCCACCATGCATTTGGATTTCTGATAAAATTTTCGATCAAATCAGCACAAAATGAAATGGGATGATTTAACAAATATTACAAATAGAAAGTAAATTTTCGAACTAAAATCTAAAATTTACACAACCTTGAGCTGGAAGAGTGAAAAAGCCGCTTAAAAAATACGCTCGAATACGAGTACATCGATGCATGGCCTCTTTGGTAGTGCACAATGTTTACATATGATTACATCATTCACAAAGATTACAACATAGTCTAAGATTCCGAAATAGCAAAAGCTTTCAGGGACTTTGCCTCTAGACCCCCAAGGCTGCATTCGTGCATTACCAAAACTGAATCTTCTTTTCTAAAATGGGGTCAGCAAAAGTGCTTGGATAAAGCCCTGGAGGTACTAAAATTGAGCGTAGTGTGTATATTACTTAAAGGAAACTATAAACTCCAAGTAATGTTTGTACTACAATGAATGTACTTACTTTCTTGGAATGGTGTTGCTTATTTCTTTGTGTACTTTCACCAGTTTTTCGCATTGCTCTTCTGTCAAAAAGTTTGGAATAATAAAAACATCAGGTTGATCTTCTTTAGTTACTCGCTCTCCTTGTGCCACCATAATGTCATCTTTAATCCCGCTCCACTCCACTTCGTCAAATGTACACTCTCTTTCGTTTTCAAGATCATGAAGTAAATACCACAAATTCTGCAGCAATGGATTGCCTACAGGCGAACATTTCTTTTTGTTGGTTTTGCACTGTGATCTTTCATTCAACGACTGATGGCAACCGTACGAAAACAAGGAATATGAGCGCTTCGATTCATCCAAGATTTCATCCAATATTTCAAGACTTTTCGGTTCCTTTGCACAGCGTGAAAACGCAAGATTCACTTGTAGTATGCAAAATATCAGTGATGAATATACTACTTTGGTGAATAAATTCATGATTTTTCTACTAAGAATTAACATTGGAAATAACGAAGCAATTTCAACATCCCGCTTTCAACAAATTCTGATGAGAAATGATACATGCACCCAAGCGGAGCTCTGCTTATTTCATTCACTTTCCTTCCCACACACATGGCTTTCATAGAATAGCATAATTTATCAGTTACAACTGATAAGTGCACAATCACTGCCCATATTGGCATCTGCACATTTATTATGTTTTTTGATAACATCTCAAATATACAATATATATGGAAAAATTAAACTTTTAATCAACTCAATGTAACTTTCAAAATTACCTAATGATAATTTTTGTGCATAGTATCATTTTAGCCAATTTATTCGATTCTGATTGGTTAACAACTGTGCCGATTAAAGATAAGTCGACACGAACATGAGCCCGCGTGCATTGGGCACGCCGCAAAAATATAAACACAAAAGTTATATAAACAACGTGAAAATATTTTTTCCTGAGCTCAGTGAACTCTTATTTATGTTCAAATAAAGAAGAAAAAGAAATAAATATTATTTACCGTTATCAATAACGTTTATAATATCAGAAGTTACTCTCAAAAGTGACAAAGGCGCTTGAACCATTAA